TCTCCAGGTTGGGGCGGCACACTGCTGCCTCATTGGCCCTCAGCCGGGACGACCACGCAGAACAGACCTGCAGCAAAATGAACAGACCTGCAGCAAAACCTCAGGCCCAGGGGTCAAATATGGCCCTCTGCAGGCCCTAACCCAGCCCTCTGGGTGACCAGAAGCCTCTATTTCTTCCCTGGGCTTCAGCCCCTTCCCTCAACTGCCAATCATTTTGTATTTGGTATTTGGATTCTTGACTTACAATAGAGGTGAGCCACAGGTGGCAAATGGGCTGCATGCAGCCCCTGCAATCTCCCAGTGTGCCCTCCGCCTTCCTCCAATACTACAGAGCCCTAAAAGAGTCCAACATACAAGCAAGCTGGGTATGACCTTTTTGGTGCTCAGCAGCACACTAGATGCCCTTTGTCCCATGTTTGTTAATTCACTTTTGGGTTATCTAACAGCTCTGCAGCCTCTGGTGGAGGGAGCTGAGGAGGCAAACGTGGTTCAGAAGGTTGCAGGAAAGCCTGAGAGGGGGCAGCAGGTGATGTTGGTGTTCCTGCTAATAAAAAGTGGGCATGCTGTGGTTCTCTGAGGCCCAGTTCCACACCGTTGGTGTGTGGAACCCTTTCCCAGTGCAGTGAGCTGGACCACATGACCTTTGGATCCCTCGCAGCTTTTCTATCCTCCAGTTCTTTCCTTGGAACACGTAACATTGACAGCAACGATGCAGCACAAAATTTTCCTGCAGCAGAGCCTGAGTCAAGAAGGCCATTTTTATTATGAGGTACAGACCATCCATTTTTACAGGCATGTGTACTGTGCTTACATTAATTGCTGTAATAATGGAAAATGTTCTCCATGGATGCGAGTGATGAATTGCAGGGGAAGTAAAAGTGTCTGTGGCAGTAATGAACTCTTGCGTGATTCATGTTCAAGAAGTAGACAAAAATATCATTAACACACTGACTCCCATCAGTTTATTTTTAGCTCCCAAAAAATCTCAGAGATAAAACATGGTGCAAAGCACCTGAAATTGCATAAAGAAACATCGAAACAGAGCGAGTCAGAAGGGGTCTCCCGGGCCATCTAGTCTGACCTCCGGCACCAGCCGGCTCTGCTGACCTCCGGCAGGAGTGCATATGAAATGCTCTCCTGCCAAAATTAACTTTCTTGTTTATGAAGTGACCAGCAAAAGCTCCCTGACCCCTTTTTGCCTGGGACTGACACACACCACTGCCCTTGTTGCAAAGTATAACTTGCAAAGTGCAACTGTGTTCAGATTTGGCAGAGACACCTTGGCTGACGGCCACTTTTTCCAGGAGCTGGCCTTGCAAGGAGATGACAGGAGCTGTCACATTTCACCTGTCAACTCCCTGCAAGCAGAACAATGCTTATCTGCAGCCTTGGGGAGCCACTGTACAGGGTAGCTCCCTGCTGAATTTGCCGGTTACCTATTGCCAATGACTATCTTGTATTTCTAACAAATACTGCCTGTGCAGTTTCTCAAGAATAATAGTACCTGAGTTAGCCACTAACATTATTTTGCATATAATAAATGCACATTGGAGAATGCATTCCGCTTCCCAAACACTCTGCTACACTAGGAGATTTTCTATCTGTCTGTATGTCTATCTATCTATCCATCCATCCGTCAACTGTCTATACCTCCCCTTACCCAAAGCTCTCATTTTCTTCTCATGACATGCTTTCTCAGTATTCTGATGGTACATTTGACAGGGCCTCAGTAGTAAGTCTCACTCTGTTTGAAAAAATAAATAAGATTAGATTTAGTATATGGATTTAACTCTTTTAAATCAGCATATAAACATGTTATTACTTGCAGCTGTTAGCGATATCATACTTTCAGAATATGGTTAAGAAAGATCATTTTAGAATTGTGCTTTGAAAGCTGCTTATGCATGTTTGAGTAACTGCTTTTGTATTTTCCATGCTGTAGATATATTGATAAATGCTTGCCAAATACACTTTCTAATGCTAAAAACATAATTATCCCAAACTTGGGAATAGCATTCTAGCAATTTTCAATGCACTGTTTTGTTTTTACTTTCCCACAAGCTATTCTTGCCTTTCATCATTTACAAATTTCTACAATGTTTTGTTTACTTGTTCTCCCACTTATTATGTGCACAGGTTCTCAAAATAAACATAGGATCCATTAGACAATCCTGTTTGATCTATGTAAGTGGAAACAGATCAAGAAGTTGTGCATTTCCTTTTGAGAAAATGCAGTGTGGTTTGGTTTTGCACTGTGATTTTAATTACCTAATTGGGCCTCAGTTCACCAAGAAGTTCTCTTGCATAAGCACTATATACTGTAAGTGAATGGAAACTAAGGAAGAGCATGGTATGATTGAGTCCTTTATAAGTACGCCTATAAAGGACCTTTTATAGCCCGAAGGCTTACATAATGATTCATTAAATTTTGTAGTTTTTAAAGCAAAGGAAATTCTACATTAAGATCCTAGCTTTTTATGTATTTCCATAGCCAAGAAAAATCAATATATTTTCAATCCATTTATAAAATTTATGAACATCTTTCGGCACCAAAAGGGCCCTCAAGGTGACATCCACATTAAAACAGGAGAAGCATCTTTAATGTCCCATTCAATTGGGAAAATTCAGTCTTGGTTAGCCTAAAACAATACATAATGAATAAATGAAAAACAGGAGAAAATGATCTTTAATGTCCTGTTCACTGAGGGGAAAAATAGTTTTGATGAGCCTTGATTCAGAAAATGCCTACTCCCACAGAATGACCAAATAGTTCCTACTTCAGAATATACAAATTGAGCAGAAGTGGCAAGGGTACCATAAATCCATAGTTGAAAATATGAAGGAGGGCCAATAGTGGTATTCAACATCTGTGTAGTACTTTCAGTCTGTTTCATATGCAGTATCTAATGTAAACCCTGTAAGGTAAGACCATATTTTCCCAGTATTCTAAATTGTGAGTAATTGAGGCTGAAGGAGAGTATCTTGACTACTTAATTCAAAATATAACAAAATTCAATCTTGTTATATGTAATCCTAACCTTTTTGCATTGATGTGTGGAGTGTATTGATGGACAGGAGCTAGCCCCCCTCGAGCCACCAAAAGCTTGCTGGACAGGAAGCTGCCTCTCACTTCCAGTGGAGGAAACTGGTGAAAGCCTTGACATGGGGCTGGTTGGGAGGATGAGCTGGCTTTGGATTCACAGGCTCCAAATTCACAGGCTCCCTGAAACAGGACCAACCCAAGCCTGTCAATTGCAGCAGCCTCTTCCCTACTGTAGTGAAGAAACACAATCCACCGCAATGAACAGCTCCACAACACTCTCCCGGTACATCTTCTGGCCCAGCTAGTGTGAGTTAGCCTGGTTTCGGCTGTGGCAAGAGACCTGCAGCTCTGTTCTCCAGCAGCACTTCAAATAGTTCTGCCTGCCCCCACGCCACACCAGCCCTGGTAGAATTCAGCAGCAATATGCTTGAGTAGATGCAGGCAGGCATGGGAACCTGACTCAACTAGACTGTTACGCCTTCCTGCTCCAATACAGGAATTGTGCCACTGATTCCATTTGTAGTCCCCTGCTACCTGTTGGCTACCCATAGAAATGGGCATTCCCCTGTTCTTATGCCCGGTTTGTACTTTACCAGAATCAAGCAGGAGAGGATTTTCCCAGACTGCACCATTTAGGGGGTAGGGTGTATGTTTCTCTTGAACATCTCCCTGAATGTTGAAGCTTGCATATAAACTAGGCTGCATTGTTTGCCTTGACATGCCAGTTTCCTATATGCAGGGGGCATTGCAACGTTCTCTCCTGGAGTTTAGCAGGCAGTATAGTGCAAAATACAACCCATTAATTCTACTGAATGGATGTTCTGTACTTTAGAGAGTCTCGAGGAAATGCCATCAAAAGTTAACTGACCACTAAGTCAGTTCCCCATAAAATAATAAAATAAAATATAAAAAATTGCCCAGAATCCATAACACTGTAATACCTTTATTAGGCCAACTGAACAGTCACAAGCTACTGTGCGAGCTTTCAAGGTCTCCCATAAACACAGCAAAGGGGGAGCAGGGAGGTGCTGAAGTTCAAACCCTGGATTCTGCACTTGGCTACAGTCTTTCCATGAGAAGTGAGAAGGAGGCTGCTGACATGCAAATTAGTTTCTCCTGGAGGCTGAGATCATTTTCAGGCTGCACTTTCTGCATGTGTGTTTGTGTACAGGTGTGATTTGCAGTTTTCATTATTATTTGATGAAGAATACAGTTCAGTACATGTGCCCTTCTTTCATATATTAAGATCTGAGCTAAGATTGTAAGCAGAACTATACTAATGTAGCTCTTTGTGCCTTGTGCCACTGGAGATTTCAGGGTTGGTTTTTCTGCATGTTTTCATGCTAATATAAAGAAATGTTTATATTTGAAAATTATTTGATGGGAAGAAAACTAACTAAAATGGCCCATTTCACTCTCAGTTTTTACTGTGAAATCTAATTATATACATACAGTATGATAACTGCAAGATATGATACATGTTTCTGTTGTTTGTAATGTTTTCCATCACCCCCGGATCCTCCCTCCTGGTTTTTCTTATCATCCCAGGGTCCCCATATTCTACCTGTGGTTTTCACTTCCACTTTTTTCTCATCCGTCCTTATCCTGTTCAGCTGGTAAAGTGAAAATGCTCTGCAAGTTACCTGTTGGATCATTCTATGTTGACCTATATGGTAAGATGACAATGATAATGTTTAACGATAAGGCAATGTTTGTTTATTTTTATTTTTTTAAGTCTCATCCGTGTGCTGTGAAAAGGTGTGGACAATTTGATGTATCAAAGAGCCATTGAAACTGGGTTATTTTGCATCTCTGTTCAAGACAGTTGCTTTGAAGAACTTTAAAGGCTTGGATATATGCCAGGTCATAGATCAGCTGCCCTTCACCACGTTTTGCCCTCCTCCCCTAGGAATGCAGGTGCTGGAATGGAACGGCATCTCCTTGACTGCCAAAACATATGAAGAGGTCCAGAGTATCATCAGTCAACAGAGTGGGGAAGCAGAAATATGTGTAAGACTGTGAGTTTTTCCCCATCTTTCTGTTTCCATTGATTTTGGCTTTTCATGGCTTTTTTATTCACAATTGTTAAGGTGGAACCTTTGCTAATCTGAACATTTTAAAATTAAAAATTGATTGGTACATATATGAGAGGAGGATTTCTTTGTTCCTTATGATAAGCTGATACAAAAGGAAGAGTTAAGATAGATTCTGAGTGCAAGTCACATTCTGTTGAACTAAAGGCTAACTTCCCTGGGCTTTATGGGTGTGAATTACAAATTCTGCCTTCCTTTTGACGTCTTCTTTTGTGTGTCTGCTGGGGCTACATGTTCAGGTTCTTTTCGTAATTGGAAAAGGTCAATTGATATCTGTTTAGAAGAGTGATTAAGGGTGAAAACAAACATTATTAATCCTAGTTGAAAGAATAAAGTGGCCTTTTTTACAGTTAGAATGAGAGAATTCTAGGTTCAAATTTCAGTGCAATCACATCTACCTTGAGCAATTTCAGCATGTTGGTATGATGTAGGTTAATGATATGTAAAATGAGAAGAAAATGAATGCACAGGACTGCTGTAAATGAAAGATAATTGGTTGTAAAGCACTATGTGGGTGCTGCAAAAATCATAGGTAAGCAAATATTACATAGAAGTTATAAATCATCAAAACATTGAGGAAAGTATGTGTATTTCAGTGTAAACCTGCATTTATTCCATTAAAGATTTCACCTTAAAAGTATCATTTTTCTCAGCTCTTCAACAGCATCACAAACATGTCTCAGCCGAGAAGGGATCATGCTTGGAAGCTGTTTTCTGCCATAATTCATTTCCCATTTATCTTCCCTTATAAAGCTATGAGGATATACCAAAAGAGTTCCTTTTGTCTCAGGCTTGTCATTGCTTCTTTTAGAGATCTCAGCATGTTGTCAGATGCCGAAAATCCACAACATCTGGAATTACTTGAGCCAGGAAAGCCTGGTAAGCGAAAGCCATTTGTTTCTTTAATGTCACAGGCCACAAATTGTGATTTCTTACAGAAAAAAAAAAAGATTCAGCTACATTTAGCATGCAACATGTGGTGCAGAACATTTGCTGTAACTTGTATCTTGAATTTCGTACAAGTTGTACCATGAAAAGAAGCTGAGGATTTGCTTTTTTTTTCCCTGAGGGGAAAAAATCCAAGTTAATATTTCCTATTTCTCCTCTATGAGTGGAAAACAGTGGTCATGTTTTCCGTGAATGGAGTATTTGTTTGTATACTCTGACAACAGAATTTCCCTCCACCCTAAGGCAACAACAAAAAATCTATCACCTGTACATTGAGCCATATGATGGACTAGTGTTTCAATAATTGAAATAAAGTGTACTGATATTATTACAACTGAAAGATGGACAGAATTTTAAATTTATTTCATTATAATTATTAAGTCTGTAAAAAGCAATAAAATTACCAAGGGGCCTATATTTGGAAGATATTATCTTAGTAAAAAGAAAAGAGGGGCAAATAAGTATTTGTATGATAGAGAGGTATAAAATTACACATAGTGTGGGGAAAGAAACATACAACATAGCTGAATTGTGGGGATTCAAACTAAAGAGAAGTAAATACTTTACACAGCACCCAGTTAAACCATAGAACGAGAAGTACCAAGAGATATGGTGGCCATCAGCTTGGACAGCTTTAAAAAGGGACTGGACATATTCATGTACGATGGACTGTCAATGCAATACGTTTGTTGTGGTCCATGGCCAAACAGTTTAGAACCTACAACAGAACGAGCCATCTTAAATGCATATATTTGAGTTTTGTGTAAAGAATATAAAAATATTAAAATAAAAGCACCCTTGTACTGTTGGTCATCAATATTTCCTGTGATAAACCACGAAGAATGTGAAAATCTAGATATTCTCACCATCAACACAGGGGTGCAGAACCTCTTTCAGTCTGAGGGCCACATTCACTTTCACAGAAGCTCCTGGTATCTATTTTCCAAGGGGTGGATTGGACTGAAGGCAAAGGCAGATGGAACCAATTACAAAAAGGACAGGACCAAATATATACCCTAAGACAGCCTCAAGTGCATAGTGGCAGTAATTAAGCCTTAGGGGAGGCACTTCAACCTTTTTGAATGAGAAGAAGACCTGCGCTAATGCTGCATAACTACCAAATTGTAGACAAAGGCATGGCCTTCGAGGGAATCCCAGAGAGCCAGATGGGGACCATAAGAAGACTGGATCTGAGCTTGGGTACAGTCAAACAAAGTAAAACTTTTTTTTTTTGTATTTTTTATTCAAAAGTGTCCACCTCCATGTATTTGCCAATCATCCCAGTGCCTTTGCATTCATCCTGCCTTTCCCCCAAAAGATGCAGATACTGCCCTGGTTAAAAGTCTAGATGAAATCATTGAGTTTCATAGTTGAATTTAGTTTAAATTTCTGGGATATGTTGCTGTTGATCTTTCTTGGTTCTTGGCATTCCTTTTTGCTGAAAGAATAAGAATGTTATCAGTATGAATGGTCATGTCTGTTCCCATGCACTGATGGTTGAAAAAACCTGAATGCAAAAAAATTTGTTTCCAGTGGAGAAAACAAAGTCCCCGGGTGTTGATCCTAAGCAACTGGCTGCAGAGCTACAAAAGGTTTCTCTGCAGCAGGCCCCAATGATGGCTTCCTCGGCCATGGAAAAGGGCTCCTATGCACATTCCGGAACAGCGTCAGCCAACTCTAGCTCCATTCCAAGCCCTGGCCAGCCTGGTTCTCCTTCAGTCAGCAAGAAGCGGCACACTGGCAGCAAGGTATGGACTTCTTTTGTTTGTTTATTTCTAGTTGACCCTGTATGGATCCAGAACAAGATGGATGTATGGATGGACAGGAGGACAGATGGATGGACAGAGGGATAGACAGGAGGACAGAGAGACAGACAGAAGTACAGCAATAAGAAAATTATATATTTGAAATTGCATGGCAAGGCCCTGCTAAGAGATCTCCTGTGTTGCATTTTATGCAATAGACAACATTTCATACATATGTGATATTCCGTATGAAAACATGTGACCCTGCAGCTTTGTTGTTTTTGCTTTTTCTTCTTTATGACTTATCATTATTAGAACCTTATCACTATTAGAACATTTTAGCAATGAACAAAAGTTACTTGTACTTTTGATTTTGAGCATCACAGCCACAGTAGGACTGTCATTTCGATCCACCAAATGCATGCCTGTTTCATCATGGCCTTAAATGCTCAAAGTGCTACAGGGAGAAACCATTCATTCAACAAAGCTGCAGCATCTACAGAAAGAACTGAACAAATGAGAGTAAATTACATGGCACAGAAGGGAATGAACCTTTTGGTGCAAAGTGCCAACCACATCCTGTGAAAGCTTGTTTCTTCTTTTATCATTTGATGGATGATCATGTTACAACCCACATTATATTGGGTGTCTAATTATAAATATCCTTTGAGAGCAATTAGTTGCAAAAGAACAGGTTGCACTTTTAATTAAAAGCAGAAATCCTTAAACTACTTCCTCTGGAGTGGTCTCATTGATGCCTGCCATTTTGGGGGTTGCAACTTTGACATTGCAGTCAACCCACTAAACTGGTGGGTTGTCCTCTCCACCCACCTCAGAATAAAATTACTGTTTTTCTGCTCCTGATTTACCATTATACTAACCTTTCAAGATATATAAATTTGCTTATACACTGACGTTCCTTTTTGCTGTAACATATGGAGAGTGACAGGCCTGCTGAGATTAGTAGTCATTCGACGCTGGTTTGGCTGTGTGCTGCAAATCAGTTGCCTGCCTAGAGTGCAGTCCAGTTTGAAAGATATAGAAGTATAGGGGAGACTGTGCAAAAGCCACAGGCAATGCACAAATCTGAGTCGAATGGCCCAACCTTGGTGGGATTCAGATCACAATAGAATATGAAGCAAGCCAGGTCTACCATTGTCCAAGCAAACAGGCAGTGGTTCCAAGGGCTTGGAACCCACTTGAGGATTCAGAAGGGTATTTTACTTTTGCTTCTGGCCACTTTGATCTCTCTTTGAACTTCCAATAAGCACTTGGGCTCTTGATAGCAGCAGAAAGCAGAGACGGAGAGGCAGAGGTAGGTGCCATCCACTGGCTTCCAATCAGTGTTCTCCCTTCTACTTCCAATTGTAATCCTTTTGACAGGAGTATATGAAAAGCCTTCTGTGATTTGGGTTTAAATTGAGCAGAATTCTGCAAAAAAATGTTAACATTTCAAATAATATTTTTATTCAAAACCCCCTAAAGCCACACCTCCCAATGCTTATATCCGAACGGTGACATCTAAGGCTTTTTCTTTTTCGGTATTTGAGAATATTTCATACTTGATCTATAGTAGTATCTGACAGTATTTGATAGCTGCACATGCAGGGGTATTTAGGCTGGGATCCAAAGAATTGTCTAAGTAATACCATAAACCCAAGGGCCTTTGGAGCTCAGCTTTTCAAACTTCAGCTGCTCAGACCATTTAACAGACCACAAATGTCTGCAAAGAGGAAGAGTAAAAATTCTCATTAGGTATGCCCAGGCCTTTGGATTCATGCTATCTTACTCTGCTTTATATTTTTACACGATTTGATAGTTAAGATTTAATGGTATTTAATTTAGAGTTTGTTATTATTTTGGTGTTATCCAGTAAGATGCCAATAAACCTACAGAAGTTGAATGCTGATATTACATTCAAATTTTCTATAGTAAATGGTACTTTTTGCCAGCTTTCATTTCAGTTCTATGTTTATGTACCACCAAAATCAATAATTAGGCATTTTACCTGTGTAGACATAAGAATGCTTGCAATAATCATAATCCTAGATTCATTCTTAGAGATATTATCTAAAGTTAATAATTGATACCAATAGTATATACCTAAATTTCTGTGTTCTTTTTTTTAATATGGCAGCCCACTGAAGCATCAAAGTCTGGATCCCATCCAATAACTGGGGAAATTCAGGTAGTCTGATACTAAGTTATAGCATTTATTTTTCTATGAATGCATATGTGAAAGAAAGCTGTATAATATCATTATTCGTTTCTAGGCTACCTTGTGCGGTCTTTAAATCTACAGAAGATAATGGGCAGCACTGCAAATGTGTGAATCAATGTTAAATATAGATTTTTTAAAACCTGTTCATTTTAAGTCATGTAAGCACTGATGGCTGATAGCAATCCAATTGCTGCTTCATACAGAAAGGAAGAGTTAATATTTATTTTTAAATTCTGGTTATGTTATCTGTGTGTGTGAGTAAATTATTGTGTGGATTTTCCAATTTCTTTTCCATTTTTCCCATGCCATGATACAAAACTAAAAAGATGGTCAGGTCATACTGGAAAAGAGCAGACATCTGGTGCTCATATTATATTCCAATTATATAGTTGCATTCTGGTTGTTTTGTTTAAAGGGGCAGTTCCATTGCTGTAATTACCTGCAGTGGGAATAATTCAGTTGTTTTTAGCAGCTGGGATAAAAAGAATCACACAACTAGTTCTATTCTACACTAACCTACCATGATGACAATCAGTTTTGTAACCAAGGAGACTCCTCAAAGCTGTTTGTGAGATGATGTCAAGAGCTACCACAAAGAGAAAGCAAAGTCAAAATCCCCACTGAATATGTCTGGGTCTTTAAGCACGTTGAGGAGTTCTAGAGATTAGCAATGCACTCCTATGTGCATCTACTGGGAAGTCAATCTTATTGGCTTCAACTACAATTTACTCCCAATGAAACAAGTCTGGGATTCCAGGATAAAAGTTGCTTTTGAGGGTTCAGTCCTTTGTTTGGATCCAAAGGTAGATGAGTATGTAAGGGACACACAGATCCAAGCCACTGTCCAAAATCACGATAATAAGAAACATTGAGTGACAAAATGAAAGTGACTGGTAGCTGGTTACCAGTCAACCTGCTCTTCATTGTTACTTTTTTAAATTAATCTCCCTAGGATTCTTCATAGCTAAGGGTATATTCCTATACAGACTTACCTGAGAGTGAAACCCTCTAAGTCTAAGCTAAATAGACTTACTTCTGAATAGATAAGCATAGAATTGTACTGCATTGGCAGAAAGTAGGTGGCCATAAAATGTTTATTCCCAAGCCTTATCTGCCATGGAAAAGAGTAATACGGTTTTGCAGACATATGGGGTGCTATTAAAGGGCAGCAAATTTGTCCACATTAGAAAAAATCAAGTTGTAAGTTACTACAGCTTTCCTCTATGCTCAATACATTTTTTTTCTTCTGTAGAGTTGGCATTGTTTCTTCCTCACTTTACACACATACACAATTCTCTGTGAGCAGATTTACAAGGAGGAGGAGAAGAAAGATTTCTAGAGCTTCAAGTAGGCACACAGGGAGCAGTCCTATGCATGTTTAGACAGAAAAAAGACCTACAACTCCCTGCATTCTCCAACCAGCACAGGGGAAAGATGACACATGCGGAGAGTTGTGCCTTTGGTAAACTGAATTGTGGGGAAAAAAATTAAAAGCCACTTGGGAGATCCATCTTCTAATCCCCCCTTGGGCATGAAAGCCAAGGTCATAAGTATTATGAACCCTCATCCTGGCAGTGAGGAAAATGAGAAAATAGCTCAGCTGAATGTGGGTTGAATGTAGGTTTTGTTGAAATATGAGTTAATGCATAATCTGAACCCTGCTGAGATAACAAACCATGGTGAACACAGTTCACCATGGTTCATGGTTCATAACCCACAGTTCATAATCCAACAAGCCATGATTCTCTTCATGGGTTGGTCATGGCTTTGCTAGCACAGGTGGGTTCAGGCAACATGTTTCAACAACAACCCACACAACAACAACCACTCACACTTAACCCATTTCATTCCCTTAAGTGTAAGCTAGGTTGTTATTAGCTTATCTACAGCAGCTCTTGTAGTTATTACTTTTCCTTGGGAGCCTTTGCTGTTAAACAATCAGGAAACCCTTGACTTCTGGATCTTGTAGAAAGGGATCTCCTGTAGTCTATTCAGTCATTCTGAGAAAAGAAGCGCAAAGAAAGGTTGAGGGAGGGAAGGAAGGAAGGAAGGAAGGAAGGAAGGAAGGAAGGAAGGAAGGAAGGATTTTATGTGGAAACATTTAAACAGTTCCTTGTTTGCTCAGGGGTAATCAGCTGGGGTGGGGGCAGAGGCCAGAGGTGGCCAGGACTGTAGCTAGTGATGCTGGGGCCAAGGCAAAAATGAGTAGGGTCACACTGCTCTTACTCACTCACTCTGCTACTACCCTCCCACCGCCATCTTTCTCTTTCTGACATGACTTCCTCTCCTATCTCTCTCTTCCTATCCACCCTTTGAGGATGGACGGGTCCCTCTTGCCAGAAGTCTGTGCTGATTGCTTGCAGTGGCATTTTAAAATTAGTATGAAGGATCCATGCTGCTTAAACATGCAAGCAGCCCAGCTAAGAATTAATGTGACAAGGCAATAGCCAGGATGGAACTTTTGATGCAATATTGTGTCAGAACAGCCCACCACATGTGTATACACACACATACAAATTATTTCTTAAACTTTTCAAGGAAATATGCTTCCATTCCTTTTATCCTGAAAGAAAGATTAACTTCCCTGCTTGAAATTAGTTCTTTGTGAGATTCATTTAGGAAAGCTGCATCAGTGAATTTTAGTGTCAGAGAACAGTAGAAAGGTGTCATGCCTAACAGCTCGACAGAGATTGACACGCGAGGAAGGGGCAGAAGCTCACAGTGAGAGTCAGGCGTTACAACAAGGAGACTAGCACTTGGTGCCCAGTGTCCAAACGGCCCCCCGCAACCTGTCTCTGAGGCCTCCTCGCAAGTAGCTTCCCCGCAACCTGGCTCAGAGTTGTTGGAGCAGGGTGCACCTTCCCTTCCTGAAGACTCCGAGGTGGTTGAACAAGCTGCCCCCACACCCCGACTCTGAAGCTGCTGGGCTGGGTCCTGGAGAACAGGAAGACGTAACAGGAAATCTACAGAACGCTCAACTTTGAAGAAGATTAAGCAGGCTACGCCATTTGGAAAGACAGGAGAGAAGTTTGTCCCACCTACACACGGAGAGGCATGAGAGACGTTTAAGATCCATGTGTCTTTCTCCTTCCTAGTTCAGAAAGGAGGGGGCAACTGAGATGCGAGGAGCTCGTTGCCAGAGTTTATCTGTTACATCATAAATCTTGTAGTGAATAGCAATAAAAGTGTTTAGTTTTATCGCCAGCTGCTGTGTGAGTTAATTGGGGAGGTGAGTAGCTTGTTCAACCACCTCAGAGTCTTCAGGAGGGGAAGGTGCACCCTGCTCCAACAACTCTGAGCCAGGTTGCGGGGAAGCTTCTCACGAGGAGGCCTCAGAGACAGGTTGCAGGGGGGCCGTTTGGACACTGGGCACCAAGTACAAATCTCCTTGTTGTAACGCCTGACTCTCACTGTGAGCTTCTGCCCCTTCCTTGTATGTCAACATCTCTGTCGAGCCGTTAGGCACGACAAAAGGTGTAATAAAAACAATACGTTACAGTGGCATTATTTTGATTAATGTGGAAACCGACTGACACCAACTAATGTTCTCCTTAGCTTCAAATCAACTATGACAAGCACCTTGGTAATCTAATCATTCACATTCTTCAAGCAAGAAACCTTGCTCCCCGGGACAACAATGGCTATTCTGATCCTTTTGTCAAAGTCTACCTTCTACCTGGAAGAGGGTAAGTGGAGAGGATATTTCCACCCCTGCCCCCCATTAAAGACTTTTTTCCATGAGACATTTATTGTGCATTTGTGATTCTTTACAGTTGTTTTTGGGTTCATTGGGCAATGTTACGATTATCCATGGAGACGAGGGGAAGGGTCTAAGCTCCTTGTAATCCTCATCAAGACCCATTGTTTCCTCCCTGCTATAACAGAGGATCACTGGTAGGGTTGGAGGGAGTGACATTACAAACTCTCCCTTTTTACCAGCCATCATGATGAAGGTTACTGGATATATGAATGTGTAAGCAGGAAAATGTTTATGTATATGAATGAATGAGATTGTGTTTCTGTGTGTGAGAGAGAGAATGAGTGCATGCATCAAAACAAATGTGAATACAGAGGTGCAGCCCGAGTCATCACCTTTCCTGCAAAAGGTTGCCCATCTCTGCCTTATTGCAGTCAAAGCAGGATCAAACTGTAGTTTAATATTCTAGTTAAGGAATTATCTGTGCTTTGAAGGCACTAGAGTTTCCTACTGTCAGACATGACTGGAAATTGCAGCTTGTTCTAAACCATTCAGAAAAGCTCTAAATAGCCTCCTTGAAGGAAGGAAGGATGAGGACCACATGGGTCTGAGAACTGCACCTTGCAGTGCTACAGACTAATAGTTTTTCTGAATTATGACTAGATGGCTAATAGATATTGTTGAGGAGTTTTCCATGCTGAATTACCTAAGCTGCTTAATGTTTCTATTTCTGCCAATTCTGATCATAACTCTGTGCTCTCATGAACTCTTTTAAATATCTTCTTTCCCTGGATTTTCTTTTCTTCTGCTTCCTGTATTGTTCCACCGCTGTTCAATACAACTTTTCTTCATTGGGTCCTTGCAGCCAAGTTATGGTTGTCCAGAATGCAAGGTACAGTGCATTATCCTTCAGCTGATTCTCTCTCAGCTTCTGTGCATGAAACAGCCAGATTCCTGTATGTGTAACTAAAGGTTTTACAAATTTCCAGTGGACTGTGTAGTGGGTGACAAAATTATATTTCCTTCAAGGGTGGCTTTGCTGCTCAGGGCTGTGAAAACGAAAAATCTAAAATGAGTAACAAATTGGTGCATTGACTTCTTAGTACAGAGGGAAAAAATTGGTAGTTACTTCAGGGATTGCAGATAGTGTCCCTTCCTTTCAAATATGTAGAAATAATGCAATGTGATCTCATCTTATAGTAATTATTTATTGATTCACCTGCCCTAAGTGTGAGCAAAGCCCACCTGAGAAATGTGGTTGATCTTATCTAAACTCTGTTGGCTTCTTTTGACATAGTCCAGATGATCCGCCTGAGGGAAGGTCTCCAAATTTTCTTTAAATTTAACTGGGGGCAAAATGAAGGTAGAGATGTGTTGAAGCACTTACAAGGAACACTGGACCCATTACTTTTCCCAGGTTTTGTTCAGATGCTTTGACTCAGAGAAAGCCCCTAATTCCCTTTCACTGTTTCTTTTGATGGAATTTCAATAGCAACTCAGTCTAATTCTGCTACAAATCCTATACAATGCATGCAGCTCTCTTTAATCAGTTTCCTTTGCAAAACATTTCTATATCTGATAAGCTTATATACTTGACAGTAAATGTGCATAGGCAAATCCTTGAGAAGAATGTTCACTTTGTACGCCACTTGAAACTTTCTTTCTCTCTGGGATTTGATTTTTTTTTTTTTTTTTTTTTTTTTGTGGTTCCTCCTATCCGTTGCCAGTACTGCAATATATGCATGTCATTGCTAGATAAACTGTGATTTTCCTCCAACTAATAGTAGCTGTAACTTCAGTAAAACATACCTTACATTTGAGCTGCCATGAGTAGCATGGATGGCACCATTTGGCTTTAACCGATGCCAACCATATTCTTCTGGTGTACAACATCTGCCTCAATTTTCTGGCTCTCCATAAAGTCATGGCATCCTTCTAGACAGAGTGTTGCTGCCAAGAGCAGAGCTGTCTTATCAGAGGTCACTTTAGTTGCCAAATGACAAGAGACACCAGCTTCAAAATGCCCCATTCCATGCAGTGACAGGTCTCCTTCAACGCAGTGACAATCTGTGGAAGGTAATGTGAAACAATCTATCCTAAAATATGGCTGTGATAAAAGTGGGGTAGGGGAGACAACAGCCAGTACCTCAGCCAACATTCCATTTTCCTTAAAATGATGACCTGTTTAGGCTCTGAAAATAACACCTCTTTGCATTTTTAAGCTAACTTTCACTATATGAAGCAAATCTTAATATGGGATGCTTAATCAGTTCAAAAGGAGCTGGAATGCCGTGTGTGTGACCTGCTACCAATGTCCTGCGGTGGCAAAGGAATCTGTATGGGTTTGTCATTTGTTCTGCTTTCAAGGCACCTGGAACACAATAAATTATGTTAGGAATCAGATAATTCAGCAAAACCTCTGGAATGGCCTATAGAAAAACAGCCCTGTTTGGCTTCCACTCTTGCTTTAAAGGATCAATATTGAATTAGGGTTTCTATCATTAAAAGGATATTGTTTGTACTGGAGTTTCCCTTTCAAGTTTTTCAGGGATAATTCTCTGATGATTAAAGATGAGAAAATAGAACAATGGTTTAAACTCATCTCAGACTGATAGTCAGAAGGAAGTTTTTCAAGAAAGCCGATATATCACAGTTCAGCCTTAAAATGGGAACTGCTGCAGCAAAAGACAGAAACAATTTGTAAATGCAACAAATGCAACAATTTGTGGTGTTGTCAGTTGGTTAAAAAGTTTCTTAGTAGGCAGGATTCAGAAATTTAATTTTCAAAGACTGGACTGGGAGGATGTTCAGCAGCAGAATGTTATAATCTACGCTGAAGCAGGTTTACCGTCTTTATACTGTGCCAGCCTGAACGACTGGTTTATTTATTTTTATCATATGCATTGAAATTGTTTCTACAATGGAACTGGTGGAAACAAGTAGAAGTAATGACACGTTCTGTTCCTTTCTTGTTTTTCAGCATTGAGAACAAGAGGAGGACAAAGTATGCACAGAAGAGCTTGAATCCTGAATGGAACCAGACAGTCATTTATAAAAATATCTCCATGGAGCAGGTGCGTGAATATTCTGTTCCAGGTGTGACCAAATGCTGCTCCTGGCTCAGGAGCAATTCAAGAAAGTGAACGCTCTATATAATCATGTCCCACACACCTCAAGAGTCTTTCTTTTGCTCCGGCTTCTCCTCCTGGCATGGACAAGAGAGCTATCTTCTCAAAGCTGAAACAGAGGGAGAGGAACATGGGTAGAGAAAACTGTGAGTTTCAACTTGGGAGAAAGACTGTCTCCATCAGAACTGCCTAGAGGCATAACATGGGTTTCCCCTGCTCTAATGCAGCTTGCCAGTTCCCCCAGCTCATCCTAATTTCAGGTCTGCTTGCCTGACTGGCAGCCAGTATCTCACACACAAACATGAAAAAGGCTGCATTGCTACAGGATGAGAAACAGGAGGTTTAAATTGTACATGGACCCCCAAATTAATTTCAAATTTAAGTTAAATTTCTTTGGCAACTCTAGCACTGGGCATCCTTTTTCAGGACAGATTTTTTTTAATGGAAGCAATGATGGCTATGAGGGGCAAGGGGATTGGTTTGTGGATCCTCCCTTCCAAGGTCAGAGTGCTTGGAAGTGTCCTTCAGACACTGTCTACAGGCCAGAGAATGATTAGCTATTACAATGACAGCACATTCACTGAAGTTTGGAAAAAAGTTAAAGGATGCCTCCAATAATTAGTTCGAGTTAATTCTGATGCATGTGGCCACTTCATAATGAATGGAATTGATAATGCATTGTTAAAATGCATTTAGAAGCTTCATAAAATGCTAGTGTTGCCTGTTTAAAAATAAGTCCTCTTTGCACCTGTATACATTTAGAAACAGCAAGAGCCTAAGGTGCTGTTCCACCTCTCTTCCCACCCTACTTGCCTATGATAATGCTGGAATCTGGCAGGCTATGGCCAGCAAGGGAAAAAAATAAGCGAAAGGGCAAGTGGAATAAAGGAAATTTCCAAAGCTAGCTGACAGGAAAGTAGCCTTGGAAGCCAGCATGGTTGTGCAAGGAGAGTCCGATGTCCATGGACACAGGGCCAGCAGAATGCTCAATGCAGGGGTTGGGGACCAAGAGTGTGGCTTCTCTATATGATAGTCACATGATGCACCCCTGAAAAACTTTAGTGGCTCTGAGAAGCAGGCACAGCATCAGATGAAGAACTCTGTACTCTTCTTGGGCCTTGGAATAGTTGAAGAAACTTTCTGTGCCATAGCCTAGGTAAAGCTGTACCAGGGGATGGGCTGGAGAACCTCTAGTCCTCCTGAGGTTCTGATCTGACCCTCAGGAGCCACCTCCTTTACCCAAACAACTGTTCAGTTTGTTCAGTTTTCCTCACATTCTAAAAGGTTGAAATACATCACTTAAGCCTCAGTCACTGGCAGTGGACATTTTAAGCTGCAGTATGCTGACACTTACCATATTTTGGCCCTGTTCCTTTTGCATTGGGTCCACCCTCTTAGCCTTCAGCTTTGCCCATTACTGGAAAATGGCCTTAGGAGCTTCTCCAAAAATTAATCCACTCCTTTGGCTGAAAGACATTCCCCATACACTGACTAAAACAAGAGGGGGTGTGGTGAGGTGCGTTATATGTGGCTACAGCCCTTCCAGATCTTCTCCATCTAGTAACTCTAGGAAAATAAGCAGGTGATGTGATGAAGCACGTTCAGCATTACCTTATGTGTGCAATCAGCAACTAAGGACATTGTGCAGAATAGAAATACTGAGCACATCAACATCACAAAGCATGTTTTACCAGTCAACACTGGCGAGATACAGCTGAACAGCAGGCACCTACCTTCTATGATATTTCGCTATTGCCAAACCTCCAGTCAAGAGGCCCTAAGAAAGCAATTTGAAAGTTTCTTACAGATGCTGATATGGAATCTCTGTCATGTTCACATGTTATTTCTGTGCAGGCTGTTTACATGGTGAATAAGGAACGGTTCTGTGTGCCCTGTCTCCAAGGTGGTTCCTTCGATGGGCTCTAGGGGCAGTCTACTCACATGGTCTCCAACGTGCAAAGTGATGCGCATGCATAATCTTGGCTTTGCTGACAGCCACACAGAACATGGTGCTAGTCCAGCAATGCTGCACTGGGGGATTGGGGAACAAGCAACATAGCCCCATTCCTGCTTTACCAGATGAACGTCCTGCATAGAAGCCATGTATGAATAAGACTTCTGTTGCAAATCTGTTTAATATCTAGAATTTGAAAAGACTGAGGAGTTAAAAGGGAACAGTTGAAAAAGTTATTGAAGTGAATAATAGTGTCATTTTCTGTATATCTTATATTCAGCAGGCTTTGCCAGTTACAGCCTGAAAATACTGCCCTTCCCTTTTAAATATGATGAGATAAAATTTGAGAATAAGCAGAAGGGTACGATGTTTTAGAGGATGTTTTAGAGGATGGACCTATGTGTGGAGCTGGTGCACCAAGCCCCTCCCCGCCATGTTGTTCTAGATAGCCCATCCAAATGCACATAGGCCAAAGCTAAGCAATCAATTCCTGGGTTTTGCCTGGGGAACCATTTGTGAAATTTGGTCTATGTACACAGGATTGTACATCATGTGTAGTCCTCATTTTGACAGGTTGCCCTCTTGTGGATTGTGGACTTGAGCCCAGCATGCCATTCCATGCAAAGGACTGGATCAGATCCCTGTGTATTATCCACCCAGGCCCTGTCTTCTTGAACTGTACAACAAGAGATGTCCCTATTTACTGAAACAGCATTTGGAACAGCTCAAATGTCAATAGTTATCTTTTTGACAAATGTTATGCAATGTAGCTGGCTATCTGCAGAATCCTTTTAATCCTCCCATCAGGAGGCATCAATATGCTCTCCCCTAACCTAAAATAAAGTGGGAAGGCGATCTCTACAGCCCTATCAGAATGTTTTTATAAAGGTACTCAGCCGTACCTAACTGTGAATACCAGTGCATTCTGCCTTTGCCTAAAACAGAGTAATACCTACTCACTGGTGCTGAGTGCTTCAGGAAGACAGATAGATGCTATCAACTTTTTAAAGTCACAGTGTGGACTTTCTATTGGGAGCACAGCCAAGCTTGGGCAAATAGCACAAGTCCTACAAAACCTAGGCTGAGCTCATCCGGCTTGATATCAAAATTCAGCTTTACCTGAAATGAATTTTCCAAGTCCAAGATTGATGGGAGGACGATAATTGCCAGACGGTCATATTGAAAAAGAACAGGGCCACAGGCAGGTGGCAACAGGCAGAGCATGGTTTATGGATTGGATGCCAAATTCAAAATGTCAATTGAAATTAATTATCTTTTGATTTTAACTGCAGCTGAAGAAGAAAACCCTGGAAGTTACTGTCTGGGACTATGACAGATTCTCTTCAAATGACTTCCTTGGTGAGGTGAGTACCTCATTTTTTCTTGCTTTCCTGTATTCTCTCACCCAGCATGATGGTCAGTAAAAGATAAACACATGATACATTTCTTATCCAGAGAGCAATTCTGGTATTTTCTAGGGTTCTGCAAAGAAGGGAGTAAGATCACAAATATAATCAGCAACAATGCCTATAGGATTCCTCCAGTCACTACCATTGCAAAAATTGCTGCTCAATTTGGCTAAGCTCAGACATCATGCTAAACCATGTTTAATGGAGCTTAACTGTGGTTTGATGTGATGCTTGAATTGATACCATAGTTTGTATGCAGATGGTAGAAACAATAAGAAACAAAGGTTTGAAGTAGACTTGCAAAGCTCAGGGTAACATTGTCTCAGGATACTGAATTGATTGGCTACAGTTATAGCCAATATTTGCAAAACCCACCTTTTCTGTGAAGTTCTTTTAACTCCCCAGAGAGGTCCGCCTGGCGCCATCACTATGTTTTTCAGCACCAGGCTAAGACCTTTTTATTTAAAACTTATTTTAATTGGTAATTTATTGTATTTATAGGATTAAAAAAAATTTTAAGCCAAGATGTCACCGGGGTTTTTAATTTTAATTGTTTAATTGTTATATTTATATGTTTTATTTATGTTGTGAGCCACCCCGAGGCTTTGTTGTGATGGGGGTGGCATAGAAGTGTTTTAAATAAATAAATAAATAAATAAATAAATAAATAAAATAACTTGTCCTCTCCACCTATAGAAACCAATCCTAAGTATATGTAGGGTCTATCGTGGTCATTTCTCCCTGATACTTTGTCTTGTGCTCCCACTGTTATCTCCCTCTCTGTCAAAATGTAGTCTGAAAACTCAAAACAGGGACATATTACTACCACTCTATACAACTCTGGTGCACCCTCAACTGGAGTATTGTGGTCCCTCATTACAGGAAGGATATAGCCAGGTTAGAGTCAGTGCAGCGCAGGGCCACAAGGTTGGTGGCTGGTTTGCAGGGGATGGGGTATGAGGCGAGACTGAGGGAACTGGGTCGCTTCAGCCTGGAGAAGAGGAGACTCAGAGGGGATCTGTTGGCGACATACAGGTATGTGAGGGGATGTCACGTGGAGATGGGTAGAGACCTGTTCTCCCCTGCAGAGGAAGGCAGGATGCGCTCCAACAGAGCAAAGCTCAGGGAACCAAGGTTCCATTTACATGCCAGGAAGCACTTCCTGACAGTCAGGACCCCAAGGGTGTGGAATGGGCTTCCATGAGAGGTCGTTGAGGCCCCATCTGTGAGGGTGTTCGAAGATAGGCTGGACATGCACATGATGGGCATGTCGTGAGCGGAGTCAGCTGGAGCCGGGGGTCAGACTAGATGGCCCGGGAGACCCCTTCTGACTCACTCTGTTTCTTTGTTTCTGTGTCTTCTTGCTTATGCTCCCTTGTATATGCCAGGTACACAAATGGAGCAGCGATTATTTTGAGGACAACAATGACAATGGCAACAACCAGTTAGTCTCCAAACACTGATCTCCAAGGCCAAATGTGGAAAAACTAGGACAAAAAAACCTCCTTCTGAAACTGCCTTTGTCATCGTATAGCCATTTTATGACTTTGCAGTGCACCACGTCCATGTTTATATATTGTGAATGCCTTTGTCCTGGTATGCAGGATATATTTTGCAGAGCCTGTTCACATACTGCTCCATCTTGAGCAGAGATGCACACACGTTCATCAGATCAGGATCAGGTTCCTTACACCTCTGGATTTTATTAACTTGTTTACTCTCTGTCTGACCACATAGGCATTAATTGAACTGTCTAGTGCCTCTCAACTGGACAATACTCCACGGTGGTATGCTCTGAAGGAACAGAGTGAAAGCATTGATCATGGGAAATCCTATTCTGGGCAGAGCACCCAGCAGTCCCCAAAACCATCCGTCATCAAGAGCCGAAGCCATGGCATTTTCCCTGACCCATCAAAGGGTAGGAGATTGTTAGCTCATCCATGTGTGTGTTTGTGTCTGTTTTCCCAAGAAACACCAACTTGTCACCCCGCCATGTCAGTATGCTGTGCGTCTCTCCCACCCCGCCATTGAGAGTCAATTATGAGGTAGGGTATTGACGTGCTGCATATCAGATCCTCTGGACTGCCCCAGTTCACCTAACTGGATGGAAAGGACCTCTCAGAGAGAAAAAGATGCTGAGTGGTGGCACTTCCATTTCTCTTGTAATGCAATATCGCCCTGGTAGTGAAGGAGGGCTGTTTATTGCTCTCATGGATGCCCACCCCACCTCCCAGTAAGCCTCCCAATTTGTTGGACTGACATCATTTGCTGAGAGGGAACCACCAAGCCAAGGCAGAACACTGTCCCCGACCCACTGGGGGGCCCTTGGACATGTAAGCAGCAGAACAGTGGGCCACCGCAGTAGGATCAATCCCAAAGGGCATGCATCACTTTGGCTCACCTCTTTGAGACTCTGGGAGAAAGGCACTGATTTTTTTTCTCCTTTACTGTCTCTCTTTGTGTGTGTGTGTGTGTGTTTGTCTGCTTGGTTTTTTACTGTAATCTGTTGTGTATGGTGGAGGTGTTGCTAGGTGAGAGTATGTGTCACCTGTTAACTGAGCTCTATCTGTTACGCCATGCGGGTTTATGAGTTGCTGTCTAGCTTGGATGGCAGACCAGGGCTGGGCTTTGGGTCCTAGAGATGCTCCTTCTGGACAGGTATCAAGCTGAGATTCCTTCTAGGCAAGAGCTAGCAGGGAGAGATGTCTGTAAGACTCCACGTGAGAGATGGGGTGAGTGTTAACTACTGGAAGTAGGTAGGAATGACTAGGAAATACATGCTCTGGTTGTTCTCCATGTTGTTTGATGGGTTAGCAAGCCTGATGTCACACACATGACTGGCTGCAACAACAAATGATAATTTTTATTGTGCTGGTTTGACTGTGAGAGACTGGCTAGATGAAGAGTATATGAGGTTCTGAGTGCCTGTGTGCTTGCATTGTGAGTGTGCACTGAGAGTTTGGTGTACTAAGAAATGCTTGGTATGCTTAGAAAACCCAGATTTGAGGACCCATGGAAGTGTTCATGATTTGGGGCAGAAGGAGATATTGCAAGAGAAGAGATTTGAGACATCAGAATTGAATGGTTTGTAGAGTTTTATGAATTGTTTCCTTCTCTCCAGCTGCCACCCCTCCCCCCCCCCCCACACACACACACATGAACACGCACTTGTGCCTGGTAATTCATCCTTGGATCCCTCCTGCCATTTGGCACTATTTGTCACCAGATTGGTCTGCAATAAGTTTGCACACATTTACAATTTAATCAAGATGGGAGGGATGATCAGACAAGTATTATTGAGACTTGGCTGAGTGAGCTGGGTGGAGTTGATCTGACCCAGTTCTGCTCACCTGAGTACTCAGTGTAACACAAATCCTTGAGGACTGGAACCATCCAGGTTTTCAGAACTTCCATTCCTCTCATCAGGATACCATTCCACCTGTCTGACTGGAATCTACACATTTGTGGGCTCAGTTAGTGTGATCTCTCTGCCCACTTGCCCAATTTTGAGGTGTGAATTCATATGAAGGGACTGTGGATTCTGTGCATGTGGTAGCAGTTAAACATTCTTTCTGTTCATTGCAGGATGCAGTGTAAATTTCAGCAGCCTCTTTAACTGTAGCCTTCGCATATTTTGAAGCATATGTGAAAAGGACTTAATACACTTATGCTGCCCAATGTCCTCCCTGAGATGGTCTCAAGTGTGGTCTTGGAGGAACCCAGGAGAGTGGTTCTGGATTACTTCAGTTAACATAATTGAGGCTGTCTCTGGAGCTCCAGCTTAGGGCTTCATGGCCTCCATGACACCCATGGAGGTGTTCAGTTTGTTATCAGCCCAACACAGGAAGCAAGGAATAAACTTGTCTCTGAGCTGTGAAATGAAAAGTCTGAAATGGGTGTGGAGGTAGTTTCCAAGTAAACCAGTTGTCATGGACAGATTATTTCCTAGTAAGATTTAACTTCACCCTTGAAGGGTTCAGAAGTAATCATTCAGATGATCCACCCTAGGAGATTGCTGGCATCCAATGGATTGGTGAACAGCCTTGGAAAATTCCCAGTGGAAGAATCTAGGCAGAAACTCTTGGGGAATTCCGATTATCTATGTCCATTACAATCTGAGTTTTGACATGGTTATGGGACTAAATCAGGTTTCATCGCCCTTATGGATAACTTCTATTGAGTGTGGCCCTGTTAATTTTGTTTTTTTTTATCATGGATTTTTGATACTACCAACCATGATCTAGTGATGCTAGATAGGGAAGGGAGGCTGACAGCCACACAACACATGAGTCAGCAGTGTGATGCGGTGGTCAAGAGGGCGAACGCCACCCTTGGTTGCATTGCCAGAAATGTGGCTTCTAGTTCGAGAGAGGTATTACTACCACTCTGTACGACTCTGGTGCGCCCGCAACTGGAGTACTGTGCTCAGTTTTGGGCCCCTCATTACAGAAAGGATATAGCCAGGTTAGAGTCAGTGCAGCGCAGGGCCACAAGGTTGGTGGCCGCTTTGCAGGGGATGGGGTATGAGGCAAGACTGAGGGAACTGGGTCTCTTCAGCCTGGCGCAGAGGAGACTCAGAGGGACATACAGGTATGTGAGGGGATGTCACACGGAGATGGGTAGAGACCTGTTCTCCCCTGCAGAGGAAGGCAGGATGCGCTCCAATGGAGCAAAGCTCAGGGAGCCAAGGTTCCATTTAGATGTCAGGAAGCACTTCCTGACAGTTAGGAACCTGAGGATGTGGAATGGGCTTCCACGAGAGGTCATTGACGTCCCATCGGTGTGGATGTTCAAAGATATGCTGGACATGCGCATGTTGGGCATGTCGTGAGCAGAGCCGGCTGGAGCGGGGGGTCAGACTAGATCGCCCGGGAGGCCCCTTCTGATTCGCTCTGTTTCTATGTTTCCGTAGTATCCTCCTGGATTGACTCTTTAGGTTGGACATTGGAGTCAATTGCAGAGAATAATATTGGATATCTAATCCTTTTCCCACTACCCCAGCATTTTAGCTATAGTTCATGAAGGTACAATCTTGTCCCCAGTGTTAGGTGTTAAGCATATATATCAGCCTTCCCCAACCTTGTGCCTTCCAGGCACATTAAGGACTGCAACAGCCAGAATTCCCAGTCAGTGGCCCTGCTGGATGGGGATTCTGGGAGTTGCAGTCCAAATGCCCCTGAAGGCCACCAGATTAGGGAAGGCTGATCTATATGATGCCACCGGAAGTAGTCCTTAGGGAATATAGAACGAATTGTTATCTGTGTGCTGATGACACACCACTCTATCTCCCTGTGACATCTGAATTTGGTGAGGCTGTGCAAGTCCTGAATTAGTTGCTGAACTGGGCTAGATGAGGGACAATAAACTGAAGCCACAGAAGCACTGTGGCTGAGTGATTCCTGGGTCTGGTAATAGACTTTTCACCCATCCTGGATGGGGCTGCACTCCCTTCGAAAGATCAGCTTCATAATCAAGAGGTGCTCCCAGAGCCTTGCTGTTGCTGGAAGCCCAGTGGTGGCTCAAAGTACAGTGGTACCTTGGCTCACGAACTTAGTCCATTCAAGGACTCTGGTCGTGATCCAAATTGTTTGTGAGCCAAGTTAAATTTCCCCATAACATTCAATGTAAATAAGGTTAATCCGTTCTGTAACTATTTTGTTTTAGTCAGAAAACTGAAGCGAAGTGACAAAGAACAACAAAGATCCCGGCCATCTCCCCCGCCCCCCACCCCAAGCATGATCCCGGCCATCTCCCTGCCCCCCTCAGCACAACCACGATCACGTCCATCATCCCTGCACGTGCCCGTCATCCCGGCGCACTGGGGGCGGGGGGGGGGAGAGAGACAGGTGTGTACACAGGCGCACTGGGGGGGGATGGGCGCGATCGTACTGGGGGGGGAGATGGCTGAGATTATGGTTGTGCTCATGCAGGAAAGACAGGCACAATCACAGGGGCACTCCTGCAGGAAAGATGGGCTCAATCTCAGCCATTTCCCCTCACCCCCAGCACAATCGCAGCCATTTCCCCACTTGGGCGGGTGGGGAGATGGCCACAATCACAGTCTCTACCCAATGCAGAGTTCGCAACCTGAGTCAACATTTTTATGAAATTTTTGTTTGTGACCTGATTTGGTTGTGAACTGAGGCATTTGTGAGCTGAGGTACCGCTGTACCTTTTCTGGCTTCTCCTCGACAGGGATAGCCTGGCCACTAGTAACCTCAAGACTGGACTAGCATAATCAATGTATTCTATGTGAGGCTGCCTGGAGGTAGAGCAGAATTCAGCAATTCCACTGTTGTCAGGAGTTGTCCCATTTCAGCATGTATCTCCTTTGGAAGTTACATTGAGGTCTGCTGCTTTTGCTCTTGTCTCCACCTGCTACTGGAATGTAACGTGCAAGAACCTTTCTGAAATCGAATGCAGCCCTCAGTTTGGAAGAGGTCCTGTTCCCATGCTGTAGCACATGATGAAGGAGGGAAGGATAGATGGACATGGTACTCATCCATAGAAGCTGTGTGTACAGTGAGAGAGGAACCAGTTCATACTGGTAAAGGGAGTCCCACATTAGTGCTTTGAACATTGAACCCATTTCACTAATGCCTGGTATTCTTATTGCTACAGTCATTCTGTGGCCTCTGGACAGAGACAGTATGGTAATAAAGCCTACCCACCTGAAGTTTTACTGTCAGGGATCTAATTAACTTTGAACAGATATTTATCAACAGGCTGACTGACTCAGCTTCTGGAAGTTAGAAATCCCTTCTGAGCTGAGTCTAGACAGCTTTCATTAATTCAGAATTGCAGAGTCACCTGCCAAAGCCAAAATAAATTAGACAAAATTGGTTCTTTTCTCTCATTTCACTGGGTTTTGTTTTCAAAATAAAGCAACATCTCTTATATAAAATCATAAGAAGAAGAAGATATTGAAATATATATTTACTGAAGCATGCAGTTTAAAAAAATCTGCCTGGCCTTATTCCCAAATCTCCTTGAGCAATTTCCCATAACAGGGTAACACCCCTGGGAATTCTACCCATGCACTGGGCACAAAATTCCCCTGTGCCTGACAGATGATGATCAGGCACAGTAAGGAGAATTGGCCCTCTTCCCCTTCCTTTCCCCTCCCTTCCCTCTCAGTCTTCCAGCAGTCCCCTAGGAACACAGAGAGAGTAGGACAATAGTAGTAGCCAAAAGTTTGCACTTCGGGGCAGCTTCCATCTGCTTCCCCTCCTGCACTCCTGCCAATGCGAGAAAGCAGGACTTGGTAGTCAGCTGAGCAAAGGGCATGGGCAGCCTCCATGCTCCTCAGCTGCAGCAAACCATGACTGAGTAGCAGACAAGGGGCTGCAAATTCAAGTGCTTCTCCTTGAGAGGAGTCTTGGCTTACCTCACTGTCCTGGCCGGCAGTCACCTTGTCCTCAGAAGTTATGATTCCTATGGTGCCACATCACCTGGAGAGGGGGACAAGCTGCTGTCTCCCCCATAGACTTTCTCAAGAAAAGAAGAGGCATGAGGGGCAAGCACTGGGAAGGGAAGCTTCCCACCCATTCCCCTTTTACCTACTGGGGGTGCCCAGCCAATGTTGTTGCATCAGGTGGGATGCAGCTCCTTGGCCTCATTTACTCATGAGGAAGCAAAACCAAGCAGCGGTTCTTCTGCCCCATGCCCCCTCAGCAGCATTTTTGCTCCTCTGGCAAAAAGGGGCTATTTTACTTTGGGCTTTATAAGCCACCATGGGTTATCATGCTGTCTGAAACCATCCATTGAAATTTAAGGCCATTGAGGCTGTAGAGCCAAAAGCCCATCCAAAGTTGCACACCTGACTCTGCTGAAAAGCATCTTCCTCTCTCATGCATCCCCTTTTTTAGTCTTTCTTCTTTTTGCCCAAAAGACTACCATGTCCCCAGTTTTCCACAACAGCAAAGCATTTTCAGTTATTAGCCTTCCCTTGTCTGTGGTGCTATCCAGCCAACTCTTACAGGAAGCAGTAGAGAGAAACACACTGTGAAATTTTTGAGGAAAATCCCAACTCCTGCTTCATCCTGGGATCCATTTACTTACATGCATCCAAGGTCCGCTGGGCCATATAAACTGGGATGACATGAGTAACTATTATACAATCAAGGGAAATAATCAATGCAAGATATCAAACTTTCTGTTTTCCCCACCTACCAGACATGCAGGTGCCCACCATTGAAAAGTCCCACAGCAGTCCAGGAAGCTCCAAATCTTCTTCTGAAGGACACCTGCGCTCTCACGGACCATCCCGCAGCCAAAGCAAAACCAGCGTCACTCAAACTCACCTTGAAGATGCTGGGGCGGCCATCGCTGCTGCTGAAGCAGCTGTCCAACAGCTCCGCCTTCAACCAAGTAAAAGACGCAAATAAAATTCCTCAGCATGGCAGCTTAATGTTCATCTGTTGCCTTCCTCTCCCTTCCCACCCCGCCCCCGTCCTTCCTCTGCTGAGCTTTTCTTTCTGCTCTTAGCACATTGTGTGTTCCGCCTGTTCAGTATTCTCTCTGTGTGTAAGTACTTGTAAATGCGATACCTTCTTCCTATTTAGAAATCCCCTTTTATTTACATAGAATGCAATGAAACTGGCTGTTTCACAACTCCTGTCTCCTCCGTTTGTTCAATGTACCCCACATCTTGTTTTGTTGCTTTGGTGCCACTAGGTGCCTCAACCACAATTCAAACTTCCCATGGTTGGTTTCTAATCTCCCAGTAAGATTAGACAGTTTACCTAGGAAAGCCAATTGCTAAATTAGAAAGCAATGAGAAAGACATATTGGGCAGTGTCACTATTTGGGACCCAAAAGTCTAAAGGCCATGAGACTTTACTTAAATGGGTTTGTTTTGTACTGGTAAATGTTGATGATTTTACTCTTTTGGCAGTATTATTAAAAACAACAACCTTGAGATGTTTGCTAAACCAACAGCATTATGGTAGTACATGCAAACAAAACAATATAGACTTTACAGAGGAAATTGGATATTGGTAATGTTAACAACAATATCATTAGCTTAGCTGGGGTCTGCATTAATCATGGGCAGGAGAGATTTTTTTTTTTTTTTTTTTTTTTGTTACACTGTGGAGAGGTTTAACAATTGCAACTCTTCTGTAACCCTCCATGTGCAGATCCTCCTTTCACGGAATTACAGTTTGAGGATTTAGTCACTGACAAATTAATATAATCCAGCTGTGGGATCATTGTGTTTGCCTTCATGATTATTTGGTGTGTCATGCAGTCACTGCCACATAATGCAGAACGCAGGAGTAAAATCCCCTCCGTCTTCTTCATCCTTTTTTAATTAAAAGGAAACAGCCAGTTTAAGTACCCTTTTAATGCTGTGCATGTGATGTCTCTTTGGTGTTCAAAGACACTTACCTATTTAAATACAGAAAAGAGAATCCCCCACTTCTGTTTGCATGACTAACATTTAAGCTGGTTCCATCTGAGGATACATACTCTGGGTTTCCATTTCACCCACACTGCCACAGCAGCACACAAAAGCGGTCAGTCTAATCATGCAAGGAAGCAGCACAGACACAGCATAGCAGGAGTCCTCCCAATTCAAAGAACTCAGTCTGACAATCTGCCTCCACCAGCCAGTGACAGCAAGGACCAAAGCCAGCTAGCCCTCAGGAAAGTGATGTCTGATGGACCGGTCAAGCCTGAAGGAGGTGAGCAGAAAGACATGGCCAAGAAGTCAGCCTTAACCAAATGCCTTCTTGCCATATCTGCTAAGCCATTGTACGTGGAAATTATTTCTTCAGCCCTCACTATGTTCGGTTCGGTTGAAAAATCTTTTCCCGGTCTTCCTGTTAACGTGTGAGCCCCATTTGTGCTAAGTCTAAATTATAGATGGTTCTGATGTGGGGAAAGGCCATTGTCTCTCAAAAATGGGATTAAGTATGTTCATATTGCCTGCTAAATGGCATGCACTTAACCTGATCCACTGGAGCATGATAAAACCATTCATGGCACATTAGAATTTCAGTTTGGACACAGCATCATTACTGTTGTTGTTGTTGTCATCGTCGTTACCATTTGCACATTTTTTGTGAATTCATATGTTCTAGTTCAGGGACCGTGGGAATTCACAGCAGGAAAAAAGAACAAGAAGAAACAGTGTTCATGTGATACAAAAGCAATGTCAGCATTTAAGAGTCTTCTAGTTTGCTTCAGAAAGTGTCTATGTCTTGTGTGTTTGAGAGCAAAATAATTCCTTGGAAACTGAGGAAAGAGACTCAATACTTCATGGAAGCAAATGCTGAAAAAGATAATATCCATTCTGCTGTTTATTTCTATGATGCATTTCAGGCATGGTAAACAGGAGCAGCTGGAAGGACAAGGAAAATGACTTGTGTGTTCCTTGCTCCTGCCTCTTCTCTATCATGTCTGAAGAAGTTCTGCATCTCTGCAACTCAGGAAGATTCAGGCTGCTTGCTGCATCTCTCCACTATTAGCCTGTATGACTCCTCAGAATAGCAGATATAAAAGTTCTCTTTTGGCCCTGACAAAGAAACTTGGGGAGCAGAAAACACAAATTGGCTATGCTTTGTCTTCCCACCATTTATTGTCATACCAAAAAGAGACCTGAGAGTTGACTGAGAGGTGTAATGCCAGCATGCCTCAGCAGAGCATCGAGTATGAAGCCTAAACTGAGACAGACTCACCTTTCTATTGCATCCCCTACTGGTACCAGTTCCATCGCTTAAGAGAATGGGGAAAATGGGCCCAACATGTGCAAGGACAGTTCCATCTCATGAGGATAGCACAAATGTGTTGGCCTGCTTCTGCCTCCAGGTCTTCCACACACTCACACACACACACACACACACACATAGTGCTGGGGACAGAACCAGTAGGGGATGCAACAGGGGGCAGTGCTAGCAGGCAGTCCCACACTCTACCACATGATGGTACTTGCATGAGAAAAAAATGCCTGACTGGGGCTACCGTGATATACTGTTTCTCACTAAACTATACTTCCACTGGTGACTCTTCGGGTTCTAAAAAAGACCAGGATTTCTCAACCTAAATAATTTTAGCAATCAGTCCTTCTTTTGTGAGGGTGGAGACAGAGAAATATACTAACTATGCCATGGAAAGTATGCTGGATCATAGATCTGGGCTATGAACATGCCTTTAGTTAGTTAACATGCCTTTATAAGATGCAAACCCTGGATTTATATACATAAGCAAATACAAGGTGACAGAATAGTTGTTATTTGAATGGATTTTCTCTGGTGCTAATCCCTTCCATGTGCTAAACTGGATGAACATTATTAATTTCTGTAATGTGATGATTGATTTATTCTAATAACTGAGACCAGCATATACAGTTATATTGACACAGTAACCTTTTTGGGAACCTTAGTATCCACTAAGATCTAATTTTTAAATTACTTGCACAAGGTGACTTTACTACATCAGTGTCTTGTAATAAATATTCCACTTGACTTGACCCTATATATGATAGGGACCTGGTTCACACATAACACCAATTTGCAGGTTGTTCATGGTAAATGAGTGATCTTTCCCTCAATGGTGAGTGATCTGTCCCTGAATAACTCATCAGAAGTAGCATTCCTTGGGTGTTTCTGAAAGCTGATGCAAAGGACAAATGCTGAGGACACCGGAAACAGCTTGTTCACTTTTTGCAGAGCAGTCAAATACCTGTTATGTGTAAACTGGGCCAATGTCTATTTTCCATGACAGGAAGCCACCAAATACAATGTGCCTTAAGGATGTAAATACCAACTGTAAAATATGGTTTAATAATTACAGCATTTTAAATGTGCTGTCTGAATAACTGATGGTTTGTGGGACTGACAATATAGCCTCATTTATTTATCACAGTTGTACACTGCATTTCTCCAGAGGAGCTCAGACTGGCACCTCTGGACTCTCACACCAACACTGCAAAAGAGTGAAATTAGGGTGAGAGACAGGATGTGCCAAAGCCGTCCAGTGAGCATCATGGGTGAGTCAGGCATTGATCCCAGGCAGGCGTTGGAGCAGTTTGCATGACATCATGAGTTAATCTACCTACAAGGAGCTGCCATGCATGTTGGCCTCTAGTATGAATATGCAAGATCCAGTACAACCATAAAACAGGTTGTGGGTTATGCAACAGGTGTTTAGCCCCTGTTGCCTGGACTCAGGGGATGCAACAAGCTATGGCAATCTCTGCCTAGGACATGCATAGTCAAGTCAGCAAGTGCCATGGTGTCCCAAGGGTTAATTAATCTATGGTGAGCTGCCATATCATCTAAACCAGGTTTCTATCTATATCACACACTTTCATTTTAGTATTAAGGTATTGTTCATGGAAACTTTGAGTTTCCATGAGTTTTCAGTATTTCTGATTTCTTAAGCTTATGTTTCGAGTTTCCATTTAATGGGAAACATTTGGCTACCAAATTGCTTTTAGGACAGCCATGATGACTGTGCAGAAACAGCTAATATGATCCTTTCCAATGCAGAGCCTTTTAGCAACCAGAACTTCTCCATCACCTTCTGTCACTGTTTTGCATGGATTCTACACATTGTAAATATACTGCCCCATAAAGCTTCTCTGAAATTGGCTTTTCAGTACTTAATTCCTAGGAAAAAAGTTAAATGGGCTTTGTAAGTTTGTAAAAGAAAAACAAGCAACCCCAATCCACCTTTCAACGACCTACCAATCCCTTCTCCCACTGTTCAGTCTATAGTCATCAATAACCTTTAGCTGTCCTGTTTTGAGTCTCACCACATTTCAGTGCTCTTGTTTGCATCTTTTACTCTCCACATTTTTGAACTGACCTGCAGTGTCATGAAATTGCTCAGATGCTACATTTCCATTTGAAGAATGTATTGGACTGTGACCCAGACTTTAGACCCACATGGAAAAGAACTGTTTGCATAACTTTGGAGCCACATAGCATTTATCCATGGTATAAACCACAATCAGGAGCACAATATTTTTCAAAAATACCACCCCTCCCCCACCACCACCATTCTTATTCTTTCAACTTGCATTTTAGAAGTTATCAAAAAGATGCCATGGGTAGATTTCCTTTCTAAATAATGCCCAATTTGTTTTAGTTTTTGGTGGTGATCTATTGTTTTGTACAACTGTATTGTTCAAGGATACACTTAAGCAGTGCATTGTTGATAGGAATCATTTTGTGTGACATTGCAATATTGCTTTTTCACACTATTTCTCAATTTACCCAAAATGTAAAACACAGAGATACCAAAATAAGGCAAGATATATATTTATAGGGCTGAGTGGAGATGAAATAACAGCTTTCAGTGGATTCAGAATGGTTGGACTGAGATTGTTTGCTTCGGTAAATTTTTACACTAGATCAGTAACCAACAGATTGTGCAAACT